CTCATTCGCTTATTGTTGGAATTTAAATTAAACGAATTCAAATTTGGTTTATTTTTTGCTGTTTGTTTGGTGGTTTTAAATGATAAACGATTAATAAGCAAGCAAATAATTAATCACAAATACAACAATTGCCTGAAAAAGAGGAAAAAATATCCTCACTAAATAAAGTTATTAAATAAATTATTAAAAATAATGCATATATTATTACTAAAGGGAAAAATTATATTTTATTACTTAAATGAAATGTGTAAATTATTATTTATTTATTGAATAAGCATTAATAGCAGCATGTAAAAAGCATATGATTAAGTGTGCAATAAAACAGATATTAATGAATATTCTATTCCAATCTTAATTAATACTTTTCATGAAATTCTCAATGTGAGACTATTTGCAATGAAATCGTAATGTTACGATAGCTAATTGTTAGTGTATTTAAAAACACTATTTGATTAATTGTATATACTAGTATTTAAGTAATTATATAACGAAAGCGTTTGTGTGTATGTCTGTCTGTGTATGTGTGTGGGTGTGTACGTGTGTGTATTTTTAAATTTAACAAATATTTGTGCTTCTTCATCCGTGAAAAATTTTTGATATTTTTGAGAAATATTGGAAAATTTCATTCTAATAATATAAATTGAAATAAGTACGCTTAAAGTTGAATAATCTTAAGCTTTATCTCATTTCTTTGATATTTAATTTTTCATCCTAAACTACTATCATTCAATTTCATTTTTTTAAATGTTTTTGTAATTGCAACAATTTTTGCCCACTCCTATTCAATATTTGTAATTTTTAATTTTATATGCAAAAATTTTGTTCAGAAAATCTTGAAAGTTCAAAGTTCAAGGTTCTTTTCTTTCTTTTTAATTCATTAAACTTGGAAAGGATACTTTCTTCGTCGGTTTTTTCTTTTTTTCTTTTTGTTTTTTTCGATTTCTTCGAATAGAGTGAAATAAATTGATTGGAAGAAAGTTTAAATAAAAAAAAAAGCTTTAAATTGGGGACTTATGCAAATTAAAAATTAAATTTAGTTAAAAAAATTTGATTGGCTATTTGTTTATTAAGTTTGACTAGATTTCACATTGCATATTGAAGCGTTTTTTTCTCTTTTTTTTTTTTGCTTTTGCTGATAGGTACAACTGAAATTAAAACGAAACACTATTCATTTGAATAAAATCATATCATTTTAGGCACTGTATTTTAGAATTAAATTTAATATTTTTAATTTAAATTTAACTGAAAGAAAGTTTAACATTTTTAAACGAAAGGAGTGATATTGATAAATTAATATTTAAATGGCCTTATCACATTTTAAAATTTTTGAGGGATAAATTATCACTTATTTTGTGATTAATAAGTTAACTTTAAAAATTTTCTAAATATTCATCGTTGTTTAATATTATCACATTAGCATAAACTGGAAACAAAAACGGTAAAGGCTTAAATGGATTTGTTTTCGTATCAAATTTGCTTTAAAAAAAATTTTTTTCAAACTCTTCTTGGCTAATTATTTAATTTATTAATTAAATCATACATTTCATCTAATCCATTCATACTTATTTACCAGTTTTTGGATTCTATTAAACTCTTTATATTAGCCATGTAAATTGATTATAAATAATCAATTATTCAATTTAAAAAAAAATGAAAAAAAGGTTTTTTCCTTTATTTAATTAAAAAAAATTAAATTCAAAAATTTTTTCCAATAATTATAGTTTGCCTTTTTTTTCAATCTCTAAATTGTATTAATTTGTAAATATAATAATATTCATTTATTATATTTGTATATGATGATCATATCAAAATTAAAATGAATAAATGATTTCAAGTTCATGCATGAATTCATTAAAACATTCATCCACATTGACGGATTTGAACTTTCAACTGGGTTTGACCTTTTTATTTACAATGATGATTCGAATATTTTAAATGACTCAATGGGTTATTGTGACTTGTTTACTTTGAGAAAAAAAAAAAAACGAAATGGATGACAATGATGTCATAGATTTTTTTGCATCATTTTTATCCACTGAAAGAATGCATCGATTGATCAATAAAATTTAGTAAATGATGATAGGATGATTTTTGTTGTACTGAGATAACCCGGTCATATGAGATAAATGGATCGATTTACTATTACCGTCCGTCTCTCTCTCTCTCTTTTTCTCTGTCTCCTTTTTTCCTCTCTCTCCTCTCTCCACAGTACTGAGTTTAGGAATCGTTGGAGATAATTTCTTGGTATATTCATAATGAATTATCAAACAAGTCCTGGCATTTCCATAGATTAACCAATTGGCTGATAGATTGTTATCACTTTATCATTACTGTAATCAGACGTACAAAGACATATGCATACAAAGAATGTATTTTACAATTAGAAGTATTGGATTAAAAAATTTTTATAAATACTCCTAATTTTTTCTAGAATATAAATTTAAAAAAAATTAGTGGGTAATTAATTTTGAATATAATTTTGTATTTGATTCTCTAATTCGATGGACAAAGGTCAAATAACAATGACACATAAAAAAAGAGTTTGTTGATAACTTTTAATTATTTTTCAGAAAAAAAGAAAAGTTAAATTGAATAATTTCGAATTGATTATTTCAAAAATTTTCATTTTGAATAACTTTACTTTATTATCGGACAAAACTAAATTTTATCTGAAATTCTCAAATGAAATTTATGATTTGAAGCTATTAAATGATTTCATTTATGACTGTAAAGAGAATGAAAAGGAAGAAGAGAGAGAGAGAGAGGGGGAAAGAGCGAGAGAAAAGAAATAAGAGAGAGAAAGGGAGAAAAAGAGTAGTGGAAAATTGACTACATTTATTTTTAAAAGACTTTTTTTTTTAAAAAAAAAAACTTTTCAAACTTCCTTTTTATAGTTAATTTTTTCAATTATTGTATTATCCATAATTAAAATTATCATTATTTTTTAATTAAATATAGCAAAAAGAAGAAAAATATTACTTATAAAATTATCTTTTAGCAATATTTTCATAATAAATAAATAATAATGGAATGAATATGAAAAATCAAAAAATCGATTAGTTTATAATTTTTAAATGTTCAGAACTTTTTTTTTTTGTCAAAAATTATAGCATAGAAGTAAGAGAAAAAGGATGAAAAAGAAAAAAAAAATTTTTTTACAGAAAAGAAAAAGAATGAAATATTTCATTTTCAATAATTGACGAATCATTTCATCGTTAGCAAAAAAAAAAGTACGAAAACTCTTCTTTTCTTTTCTATCGATAGCTAAAGAAATAAAGAATGAAAGATGAAAAAGAAGGGAAGTATATATATATATATGTATATCGAAGATGATGAAACAGCTGTTGTATTTTGCGCTTCTGTTCAATACTTTGATCCTTAAATCATTTGAATTTATTCCATCCAATGAACTCATCCATAAATTCATACCAAAAAATTTTATTCTTATTGATTTATCAAATCTCTTTCTTTTCTATTCTATCCTATAATTTCATAAGGTAACAATCATATAACTTTAAATCTATCAGTTGATCTTAACCTTTTTTTTTTTATTCTATCCTAAATTTATCCGATAATCATTCATTCTAAACCTCTTCCTATCTGTTTTATTTTCTCAATTCTATCCTAAATTTATAGGTAAAATTATTCATTCAGTGTAATCAATCCTGTTCCTATCCATCTATCTCATTTCTTCATTTATTACTATTACTTTTACTACTACTATTACTATCACTACTACTATTACTGCTTTATTAACATTACAATCGGATAGATATGTGCTTCTCGTTTCAAATTACTTACAACAAATGGCAAAATAAAACTTTTCCACCTCTCTAATTATAAAACTTTTTTTTTTAAACATATATTTATTCTTTATTGAAATTAAACATTCAATTAATATATTATTGTTTGTATTATCATTATTGTCACTATTGCTATATGATCAACTAACAATAAATTTAATTAATTTAAAAAATTTTTACATTTAAGTTGTTATTTGATAATGAGTAGTAAGTTGTAGCAGAAATTTTTTCTCGTAAATAAATTAATCAATCGATCGGACAATTAATCAATCAATTAATCAATCAGTGGAAGAATGATAAATTTATTTATAATGAATAAATTTATTTCAAATTCTTCATCCTGGAATAATTTACAAATTGAATAATTGAATAATAAATGATCTTAAAAATATTTTTTGAATAATTTAAATTCAACTGTTCATTGATTTAAAATGTAAAAGTTTGTTTATAAATTGTTTTACAAAATATTCCTCATTTTATTATTATTACTGTATAACATTGGCATATTCATAATGATATGTCAAAAATTTAGAAAAGCTCAAAAAAAAAAGATTCGTAACATTTTATAGAATTTAAATTATTAAAATCGCTTACCTGTTAATTTGAAACATATTCTCACGATGTTCTTGAATGGAAGAAAAAAGTGAGTAAAATTTTACAAATTTTAGTATTTTAGTATCCAATTACTGCTAATTTTTCAATTTTTTGTCCAAACATTAATTTGAATTATTTAAAGGAACAAAAATTTTTCGAATTTCAATATTTTAATATCCAATCTTTTCTTCATGCTAATTTTCCATTAATTTTTAATTTATTATTTGAGAAACCAATTTATTATTTGATATTAATTTATATTATTATTTTAAATATTTCATTTAAGTATATATACTAATATATGTACTCACTACTTATCTTTAGAGCTAATAACTACAATTTTTAGAACTTCACGTATTTTTTTCTATGCGTAAGTATGGGGGTGGATACGTGGATACGTCTCAGATACGTCATACTAACAAACTTTTAATATTTATAATTGTATAGTATACGTGTGTATGTCTATCTGTATACATTTGTGTAGGTGGTTGTTTGGGTAGTTAGATAGAGATGTGTCTTCTTCCTTCTCAATTTGTGCCTCTTATATTTTGAAGTTGATCGAGATCCTTTAACTTACAATAGTAATATAGCTCAATCCAATCACTATACCTCTTCTACATCCTCCTCCTCCTCCTCCTCCTCTTCCTTCTCTTCCTCCTCCCCCTCTTCCTCCTCTTCTTTCCGTTCCTTTATCCTACTCTTACTTTCTGATTTTGTAAACAAATATCATTTCCATTTCTTCATTTCAAGATCGTAGAGAAAATGAAATGCTTCTT